AGACTAGACTATAGACTAGACTATAGACTAGACTATAGACTAGACTTAGACTAGACTATAGACTAGACTATAGACTAGACTATAGACTAGACTATAGACTAGACTATAGACTAGACTATAGACTAGACTATAGACTAGACTATAGACTAGACTATAGACTAGACTATAGACTAGACTATAGACTAGACTATAGTAGACTATAGACTAGACTATAGACTAGACTATAGACTAGACTATAGACTAGACTATAGACTAGACTATAGACTATAGACTGACTAGACTAGACTATAGACTAGACTATGACTAGACTAGACTATAGACTAGACTATAGACTAGACTATAGACTAGACTATAGACTAGACTATAGACTAGACTATAGACTAGACTATAGACTAGACTATAGACTAGACTAGACTAGACTATAGACTAGACTATAGAATAGACTATAGACTAGACTATAGAATAGACTATGACTAGACTAGACTACAGACTAGACTATAGACTAGACTATAGACTAGACTATAGACTAGACTATAGACTAGACTATAGACTAGACTAGACTAGACTATAGACTAGACTATAGACTAGACTATAGACATAGACTAGACTATAGACTAGACTATAGACTAGACTATAGACTAGACTATAGACTAGACTATAGACTAGACTTAGACTAGACTATAGACTAGACTATAGACTAGACTATAGACTAGACTATAGACTAGACTATAGACTAGACTATAGACTAGACTATAGACTAGACTATATGACTAGACTATAGACTAGACTATAGACTAGGACTATAGACTATACTATAGATAGACTATAGACTAGACATAGACTAGACTATAGACTAGACTAAGACTAGACTATAGACTAGACTATAGACTAGACTAGACTAGACTAGACTATAGACTAGACTATAGACTAGACTATAGATAGACTATAGACTAGACTATAGACTAGACTATAGACTAGACTATAGACTAGACTATAGACTAGACTATAGACTAGACTAGACTAGACTAGAACTAGACTATAGACTAGACTATAGACTAGACTATAGACTAGACTTATAGACCTAGACTATAGATAGACTATAGACTAGACTCTAGACTAGACTATCGACTAGACTATAGAAGACTATAGACTAGACTATAGACTAGACTATAGACTAGACTATAGACTAGACTATAGACTAGACTATAGACTAGACTAGACTATAGACTAGACTATAGACTAGACTATAGACTAGACTATAGACTAGACTATAGACTAGCTAGACTATAGAATTGCAGCCCACAAAGATCACAAGTCTTGGTATAAATTCCAGGGAGCACAGCTACGAAACACAATCCCAGTCATCACTGGCTGCTTGGGCTTCATGTTAGAAGATTGAAACTACCAAATATCGACGTCTGCACAAGCTGCCAGATTAAGATGAATTTATCACTCATTTCCTTTGTCAATGCCCTTTCCTAGTAGGATCTCTCTTTACAGGTCTTATAAAGTGATCAACATGAAGGTCCCAAGTCTATCATGATTAAACTATAGTTTATACTATAGAATAGGCTATATATTAGATTATAGACAAGACTATAGGCTAATCTAGACTATAGACTAATCCATAGTCTTGACTATAGATTAAACTATAGCCTATTATATAGAATGGACTATAGTCTAGTCTGTAATCTAGACTATATATTGGATCTCATCGTTTTCAATATGGGGATCCAAGTCACAGGTTGGATATAAAACCAAGCTTAACAGAGATCTTTTATGCTTTGGGTAATGATTCGAAGCATTATCAACATGAAAGAACGTTTTTTAAGGTTTCTCGGCTTCAATTCGCTTGGTACCTGTTTGTGGATGAATCCTGCTTCTCACAAACGTTTTGAAATTGCTCTCAATGAGCTTTGGGTAATCATAATGGATCCATTTTAAACGGCAAATAATTGTTCTATACATTACTAACATGCAAGATCTCATTTCTTTAGGAATTGCTGCGATCTTAATTAAATAGAATTAAGAAAAAAACCTCAATACAAGTAAAATTGTATATTTTAGTGAAATGAAAATTTCTAGAATCATGTTTTGAAATACATTCAATATTCAATAAAACGCTGATTTTGTGTTTGTGAGTTCATTTTCAGAAAATGTTCAGATCAGAGAGAAAATTTTCATATTCTAAGCTAAAAAAACTAAATTTCATAAAATTTTGTTAGAATTTCTACATCAAAACTCCCAACCTAGTTACTAACTCTTCACAATTATTATTCTAAAATAAAAGGAAAATCATTTATAAGGAAAAAAAACAATTTAAACAATATACAATTAATTACTTTATAAAAATAAATACAAAAAAACAAATTATACACAAAAAACAAAACATGGTTGCCTAAATATTAAAAAAAAAACAAAAACAATTTTTGTTTCAAACAAAAAATATAAAAAAAAACATATTTCTAATAAAACATAATTTAATTTTTTTACCAAAACATTACAAGAAACTAAAAAAAAACATATTTTTTATTTAAAAACAAAAACACACTCAAGCCTTTTTCTAAAGAATTAAAAAAAATAATCTTTTTCATAACATTAATTTTTTCTATTTAAAAAATTTATAATTTTCTATCAAATACTCTTTCTAAAAGGTTTGAATGTATATTAATTACAAATAATTATTAACTATAAGATTCATTATTGAAAAAAAATATTAAACAAATCATTAAAAATGAAAAAACGGAAGAACAGAAACATAAAATAAATATAAAACAAAAATAAAACTATATATACATAAAAATATACATGAAAAAATAATATTGTTGCAATTATATCATAAAAAAACAATAACAGAAAAACAAAAAATCATAATAAATAAAATAAAAAATGAGGAAAAAAACTAAAGGATTTGGTTTTAACTGACATTTGTTAAAGGAGTTGTAGAGGTTTTGGAGGAGTTTATATAACAAATGAAATTCTTCTTCTGATTATATGTTTCTAGGTCTAATAGACTATAGTCTAGTCTAAGTCTGGTCTATACTCGAGTCTATAGTCTAGTCTATAGTTTAGTCTATAGTCTAGTCTATAGTCTAGTCTAGTCTAGTCTATAGTCTAGTCTAGTCTAGTCTAGTCTAGTCTAGTCTATAGTCTAGTCTATAGTCTAGTCTATAGTCTAGTCTATAGTCTAGTCTATAGTCTAGTCTATAGTCTAGTCTATAGTCTAGTCTATAGTCTAGTCTATAGTCTAGTCTATAGTCTAGTCTATAGTCTAGTCTATAGTCTAGTCTATAGTCTAGTCTGTATAGTCTAGTCTATAGTCTAGTCTATAGTCTAGTCTATAGTCTAGTCTGTATAGTCTAGTCTATAGTCTAGTCTATAGTCTAGTCTGTCTAGTATAGTCTATAGTCTAGTCTATAGTCTAGTCTATAGTCTAGTCTATAGTCTAGTCTATAGTCTAGTCTATAGTCTAGTCTATAGTCTAGTCTATAGTCTAGTCTATAGTCTAGTCTATAGTCTAGTCTATAGTCTAGTCTATAGTCTAGTCTATAGTCTAGTCTATAGTCTAGTCTATAGTCTAGTCTATAGTCTAGTCTATAGTCTAGTCTATAGTCTAGTCTATAGTCTAGTCTATAGTCTAGTCTATAGTCTAGTCTATAGTCTAGTCTATAGTCTAGTCTATAGTCTAGTCTATAGTCTAGTCTATAGTCTAGTCTATAGTCTAGTCTATAGTCTAGTCTATAGTCTAGTCTATAGTCTAGTCTATAGTCTAGTCTATAGTCTAGTCTATAGTCTAATCTATAGTCTAGTCTATAGTCTAGTCTATAGTCTAGTCTATAGTCTAGTCTATAGTCTAGTCTATAGTCTAGTCTATAGTCTAGTCTATAGTCTAGTCTATAGTCTAGTCTATAGTCTAGTCTATAGTCTAGTCTATAGTCTAGTCTATAGTCTAGTCTATAGTCTAGTCTATAGTCTAGTCTATAGTCTAGTCTTTAGTCTAGTCTATAGTCTAGTCTATAGTCTAGTCTATAGTCTAGTCTATAGTCTAGTCTATAGTCTAGTCTATAGTCTAGTCTATAGTCTAGTCTATAGTCTAGTCTATAGTCTAGTCTATAGTCTAGTCTATAGTCTAGTCTATAGTCTAGTCTATAGTCTAGTCTATAGTCTAGTCTATAGTCTAGTCTATAGTCTAGTCTATAGTCTAGTCTATAGTCTAGTCTATAGTCTAGTCTTTATAGTCTAGTATTTAGTCTAGTCTATAGTCTAGTCTATAGTCTAGTCTAGTCTATAGTCTATCTAGTCTAGTCTATAGTCTCTAGTCTATAGTCTAGTCTATAGTCTAGTCTAGTATAGTCTAGTCTATAGTCTAGTATAGTAGTCTATAGTCTATAGGTCTATAGTCTAGTCTATAGTCTAGTCTAGTCTATAGTCTAGTCTATAGTCTAGTCTATCTAGTCTATAGTCTAGTCTATAGTCTAGTCTATAGTCTAGTCTATAGTCTAGTGTCTATAGTCTAGTCTATAGTCTAGTCTATAGTCTAGTCTATAGTCTAGTCTATAGTCTATCTATAGTCTAGTCTATAGTCTAGTCTATAGTCTAGTCTATAGTCTAGTCTATAGTCTAGTCTATAGTCTAGTCTATAGTCTAGTCTATAGTCTAGTCTATAGTCTAGTCTATAGTCTAGTCTATAGTCTAGTCTATAGTCTAGTCTATAGTCTAGTCTATAGTCTAGTCTAGTCTAGTCTATAGTCTAGTCTATAGTCTAGTCTATAGTCTAATCTATAGTCTACTCTGTAGTCTAGTTTATAGTCTACTCTATAGTATACTCTATGGTCTAGTCTATAGTCTAGTCTGTAGTGAACTAATAAGTCAAGTCTATTAGCAAAAGTAGCGTACTTTTATATTTAGAAACAGCCAATAAAATGACCACATCTCAATACAAAATAAAATTCCCCCAAGCTTTGCAAATAAGTATAAATGTGCTTGTTCCATAAAAAAACAAAACATTCAAGTTCCAAACGTTTAACGATGAAGATCACTCAAGTTTTTATTATCTGTTTCGCTTTGCTAGACGCAGTATCAACAACACAACAACTGTACAAAGCATCAGACGGCAGAGACTACCTAATCGAAACAGAACTTAAGGTAATTTACCCAATAAAATTCTAAGAAAAAATCATTTGCAATATATGAAATCATTAAATTTTCCAGTACAACTGGTATCAGGCCTGGCATGAATGTGCCCGCAGAAATTATCAACTTGTTGAAATTGTTTCTTCAGCAAAAAATAGTGCCATTATTGATCTATTGAAAAAAGTCATAGGGAAATCACATAATTTATGGCTGGGCGGTAATGATGAATACAATACTAGCCGAGACTACGCTCGACCATTCTTCTGGTCTGCTACGGGTCAACAGTTCACATTTACATTTTGGTCCAACGATAATCCCGATAATTACAGAAATCAAGAACATTGTGTTCACATTTGGCAGGAAAAGTCCTTGTTTGAATGGAATGATAATGACTGCACTGTTAAAATGGGTTTCATATGTGAGCCTAATCATTTAGTACAGAAATATAGAAAAGATCTTCAGGATAATTGTGATGCTGTCAAACAATCGCATTCGTTAATTTCGATGCAATTCGACGAGGTCCAAAAGCAACAACTTTCGTTAATGAATAACAAACAACAGAATATCGATCGTGTGGGCAATGATTGGAAATTAGAAATGCAACAATTGCAAAATACTACACAAGCTGCAGTACAAAAACTTCTCGATGATCAGCAAGTGATGCTGAAACAATTGACGGAGAAAATGCTGAAACAAGTGAATGATTTGAATATTGAACTGAAAAACTCTAACGCACAGATAAATACGGAGTTTAGCAAAAAGTTGAATGAGAAACAAAATGAAATTAATAAATTCTGCTAATTTAAAAGTGATCAAGATCTCAGTTTTTTTTTTTTCATGAAAAATTAAAGTATGTACTCTACGCCGATTTTATTTTTTAATCATTATTTTATACTCAACGAAATAACTTAACAGTTTAGTTCTAGCTCTGTTCTTATTCCGTTCTAGTTCAGTTGTAGTTTAGCTGTAGTTCAGTTCTAGTTTAGTTCTAGTTCAGTTCTAGTTCAATTCCAGTTCAGTTCTACATCAGTTTTTGTTCAGTTCTAGTTCAATTCGGTTCCAGTTCTAGTTCAGTTCTAGTTCATTTCTAGTTCAGTTCTAGTTCAGTTCTAGTTCAGTTCTAGTTCCAGTTCAGTTCTAGTTCACTTCTAGTTCAGTTGTGCTTCAGTTCTAGTTCTGTTGTAGTTCAGCTCTAGTTCAAATCTAGTTGTGTTCTAGTTCAGTTCTAGTTCATTTGTACTTCAGTTCTAGTTCATTTCCAGTTCAGTTCTAGTTCAGTTCCAGTTCAGTTCCAGTTCAGTTCCAGTTCAGTTCTAGTTCACTTCTAGTTCAGTTGTACTTCAGTTCTAATTTAGTTGTAGTTCAGTTCTATTTCAGTTCTAGCTCAGTTTTACTTCAGTTCTAGTTCAGTTGTAGTTCAGTTCTACTTCAGTTCTAGTTCAGTTCCAGTTCAGTTCCAGTTCAGTTCCAGTTCAGTTCAGTTCTAGTTCAGTTCTAGTTCAGTTGTACTTCAGTTCTAATTTAGTTGTAGTTCAGTTCTAGTTCATTTCCAGTTCAGTTCTAGTTCAGTTCCAGTTCAGTTCTAGTTCACTTCTAGTTCAGTTGTACTTCAGTTCTAATTTAGTTGTAGTTCAGTTCTAGTTCTGTTGTATTTCAGTTCTAGCTCAGTTGTACTTCAGTTCTAGTTCAGTTGTAGTTCAGTTCTAGTTCTAGTTCAGTTCTAGTTCAATTCTAGCTCAGTTCCAGTTCAGTTCTACTTCAGTTCTAGTTCAGTTCTAGTTCAGTTGTAATTCAGTTCTAGTTCAGTTGTAGTTTAGTTCTAGTTCAGTTGTAGTTCAGTTGTAGTTTAGTTCTAGTTCAGTTCTAATTCAGTTCTAGTTCAGTTCTAGTTCAGTTCCAGTTCAGTTCTAGTTCAGTTCTAGTTCAGTTCTAGTTCAGTTCTAGTTCACTTCTAGTTCAGTTCTAGTTCAGTTCCAGTTCAGTTCTAGTTCAGTTTTAGTTCAGTTCTAGTTCAGTTTTAGTTCAGTTCTAGTTCAGTTTTAGTTCAGTTCTAGTTCAGTTCAGTTCTAGTTCAGTTTTAGTTCAGTTCTAGTTCAGTTTTAGTTCAGTTCTAGTTCAGTTTTAGTTCAGTTCTAGTTCAGTTCTAGTTCAGTTCTAGTTCAGTTCTAGTTCAGTTCTAGTTCAGTTCTAGTTCAGTTCTAGTTCAGTTCTAGTTCAGTTTTAGTTCAGTTCTAGTCCAGTTCTAGTTCAGTTTTAGTTCAGTTTTAATTCAGTTTAGTTCTATTTTGAATCCAGTTCAGTTCTATTTCAAATCTAGTTCAGTTCCAGCTCAGTTCTAGTTCAGTTTTAGTTCAGTTTTAGTTCAGTTCTAGTTTAGTTCCAGTTCAGTTCTAGATCAGTTTTAGTTCAGTTCTCGTTCAGTTGTAGTTCAGTTCTAGTTCAGTTATAGTTTAGTTCTAGTTTAGTTGTAGTTCTCTTTCAAATCGAGTTCAGTTCTAATTCAGAAAAAAAATTTCCTAAAAACTATTTTTAATAAAAAATCCTTAAAATTAATATTTTCATATAAAAATTTCTTAAAATTTATATATTTTGTCCTAAAAAGAAAATTGTTTACAATACACTTTATTTATAATTTTCTATTTAAATTTACCTTTTTGCAAGAGTAACTGGTTTCTTCGCTTTTCTGTGATCATTTCCTTTTAATATCAATAATTTTCACTTAATAACTTTGACTTCAAACACTTTTTATTTAAAAACAGGCCATGGAACGAGTTTTCTAAAACTTACTTTTTTATTAATCTAATTTTATTTATTATTAACTCTTTCATTTAGATTTTTTATTTTTAATAACCTAAATTTGCTTTATTTTTACCTTTAGCAACAACTTTTTTTATTTCCTTTAAAACTAAAGCTAACAACAACAACAAAAACACTTTCACACACACATTTAAACTCGTTAGCTTTATTTTAATAAAAAACAGGCCATAGTTGGAGCTTTTACTTTATATCAAATTAATTTTCATTCATGCTCTCTTTTAATAACTTTACGCATTCATTAAGAATTCGCGAAACGTCTTCGACGATGGATACACATTTTTTCCTTCACGACTGCGCTGCCGGCAGCACATTTTTTCTTTGCAAATTTTCTATCTATTAACGCGATTTATTAAAAAAATTTTAATATATTTTTAAAAAGCATTTTAAGCTCTACATTTCCGCACTTTTTATAACAATTTGAAATAGTTTTTTATATTTTAATAATTTTTTTATTACGACACTACCGGAAGACGAATGTATTGTTAAGAAATCACACTAAGAACTGATTAACAAAACGTGAAACGGAAAGAAAGAGTTTAGTGGAGCAATGCAACAAAAACAGAAAGACACAGATTATATGTGCAAATAGTTAATTTTCATATAAGCTTATAATGAGAGTAAGCAGTTGGATAAAGAGGAAATGTCATTAAGTCGAGAAGTTAAAATTTGCAAACATTCGTGGGAGTGAGATAAATAACGAAAGCAACAGGTTTAAATGCATTTAGTATTAACTAACAAGAAAGAGTAAACGTAGTTATTTGCAGATTTGCCATAAATAGTGCAGTGCGCATGCCCAAAATTATGATGTGATTATTTGAGAGAGTGAAAAAAGTAGGAAATGCAATAGTTTTAGTGCAAAGAGACCAGTTTGTATTAGTTAAGTATGATGATACAAGAACAACAATAAGGAATACTAGGAGCGCATTCATACAAGTATGTGGGAGCTGCCAGCTTTTAATTTTTTATACATAGACTTGTATTGAAGTTTGTGACATAAGAATGTCAAATCTCATATAAGGAAATTTGACAGCAATAAGACTTTTGTGGGATGCTTGTATTTTCATAAATATGCATACCTTAATAAAGACTTCTTTATACATATGTATATGTATGTATGCATGTAAGTATATTGTTGCTTTAAAGTAGATGAAGTTTTTTGAATTGTGCTTTTTTTAGAATATAGCACGGATGGGTAATTATGAATACTTGAGTTCGCCCAGCGCATTATAAGGCATTTATCCTGAAAACCTGGCAAAAAAGGCAAAAATGAATTTAAAGAAATTTAAAAAACTGAGTATACAGTTCGATAGACAACAAAATTCTACATAATATAGTGAATTTTTAAGTTGAGATTTGTAGTTTTGAGACGAAGTCAAAGTCAGGAAAGTGAAGAAAATTAAATGCCTTTTTAAATTTTTATCATTATAACAGGTTTTTGTGTTATTTTTTGGGGCTAAACGAATAGAGGTTTGTTTTTATTTGAAAGGTGGACCACCTTTTAATTTCGATTTTTTGTTTTAATATATATTTATCTTATATAGTAGCGTCAGAATAATTTGTTCAAAATTTAAAAATAATAAATATTTTATACTTTTTTTACACTTCCAAAAAAAGAGATACGAATTTTAAAGGTGAAAGTAGTTTTTAGTAAGTTTAATGTATATACTAGGGTTCTATAGTTGAAACGAAAAGTCGACTTTTCGACTATGTATTTGCATTTAGTTAAAAGTCGACTTTTTGCATTTTATGAAATGTCGATTTTTCGACTTTTAGTATTTTATAAATAGTAGACTTTTCGACTTTTTCCGACTTTGTCCAACTTTTTACGACTTTTCGACTTTTTTCGATGTTTTCCGACTTTTCGACATTTTGACTATTTTCGCATTCTTTCGACTATTTTTGAGTTTTTCCGACTATTTTAGGGTTTTTGACTTTTTTCCACTTTTTTCAAAATTTCCTACTATTTTTTACTTTTTTCTACTATATTCGACTTTTCGACTTTTTCCGACTTATATCGACTTTTTTAGACTTTTCGATTTTTTGACTTTTATTTACAAAGACGACTTTTCGACTATTTAATAGACGATAGTCGAGTTATCGACCTTTTTGGAACAAAATAGTCGACTTCGACTTTTCGACAAAAAGTCAATTGTTCGATTATTCGAAAGTCGATTTATAGAACCCTAGTATATACCACAGCAAAATATGCACTCTCTATATTCAGAAACAAGAAAGCAAGTTTGGGTAAATTTGCGCAAATTTTTTTGAAGATTTTTTTAAAATTTCACTTTTTTGAAAAATTAATAAAAAAAATTCGCCATTTTTCTATCAAAAAAATAAGATTATTGCAATGAAAAGTAGCAAGAATTCAAAAATTGTTATACACCGTAATAAAATATAGAACCTATATTTTCAGAAACAAGAAAAAAAGTTTTCTTACCAAAAAAAAAGAAATAAGCTTATTGCAACGAAAAGTAGCAAGAATTCAAAAATTGTTATACACCGCAATAAAATATAGAATCTCTGTTTTCAGAATCAAAAAAACAAGTTTGTGTATATTTGCGCAATTATTTTTGAAGATTTTTTGAAAATTTCGCTTTTTTTAAAAATTAAAAAATTTTCCACTTTCTTTCAAAAAAAAATAAATAAGATTATTTCAACGAAACGTATCAAGAATTCAAAAATATAGAATCTCTATTTTCAGAAACAATAAAAAAAGTTTGCTCAAATTTTCGCAATTATTTTTGGGGATTTTATAAAAAGTTTCGCTTTTTTGAAAAATTAAAAAAATACCAAAAAATAATAAATACTGAAAGTAGAAATTGTTCTATACCGCAATAAAATATGAAATCTATCTTTATGTGCGATCTAGGGATAGTTATGGACCTACCATAATAAAACTTGGTTAAATGATTTACATTCATATAAAAACCTTTCAAGATAAATTTGATTGCGATACTAATATTTTTAAGTCAATTATGAATGTTTAACCGATTTTC